ACAGCTTATTACCTGTATTCCCTAGGCGCCCACAGCAAAGTGGAATTTAATAACATAAAGGTTTTTGTCTGGCAGACTGGCACTACAGCATTGGGAAAATTAAAACCTGATGGATGGTTGGGAATATAGTCAGGTACTGGGCCTATTCAGATTGTCAAATGATGCATGGTAATTCAGACACAGGAATAAAATTGGGGATATTAGCATATATCCTCTCACTCTCACACACATGGGGATGCATATGTGGATGATAAAATGAGGGTGTGTCTGCAAACAGATATGTTGTCTCTAACTTAGAAAAGAAAAAGTTCCTGGTTGCAGTGTTAGCATGCAGACTAGTTTTCTATGCTACATAATAAATTATCACAAACTTAGATGCTTAAAACAACACACCTTTGCTATCTCACAATCTCTGTAGATCTGAAGCCTGGCTGTTATTGAGCTGGGTGCTCTTCTCAGGGTCTCACAAGCTGAAATCCAGGCATCAGTGGGCTGTGTTCTCATCCAGAGGCTCAACTGGGGAATGACCCACTTCCCAGCTCCCCAGGCTGCTGGCAGATTCATTTCCTTGTGCCTGTAGGATTCATGGCTGCATCTTGGTTCCTTTCACCTCTGACCTCCAGATATTCGTTTTTTTGTTTTTTTTTTTAATCCTCACCCAAGGATGATTTTCCCATTGACTTCTTTTTTCTTTAGAGAGAGTGGAAAGGAGGGAGGGAGGAAGAGAGAGAGAGAGAGAGAGAGAGAGAGAGAGAGAGAGAGAGAGAAACATCGATGTGAGAGAGACACATTAATTGGTTGCCTCCTGCTGGGCCCCAATGAGAGCCAGGACTTGAACCTGCAACCCAGGTACATGCCCTTGACTGGGACTCGAACCTGTGACCCTTTGGCTCATGGGCCAATGCTCTAACCACTGAACAACACTACCCAGGTCTCTAGATACTCTTAAAGGGCTCACCTTATTAGGCCAGGTCCACCCAGGATAATCACCCTTTTTAGTAAAGTCAACTGATTAGGGACTTTAATCACATCTATAAAAACCCTTTATGTTTTCCATGTAATGTAACCTAATCATGAGAATGACATCTCATCCCCTTTGCCATTTTCTGTTGGTTGGAAGCAAATCACACATTCTGCTTGCACTTAGGGGGAGAGGGTTATACAAGGGTGTGCCTTATTGGGGGTCATCTCAGGGCTTGTCTGCCATAGCATGCTACAGTTTAAGTAACTTGCATAAACAGTTTTATTGACAATCAAGTACTTAAGCAGTACTTAAGTATTTTTTGTGTTATGTTTTTTTAAACATTTATATTTGGTGGTGGAGGACTTTATACAGAATAAATGCAGGTAGGAAAGGGGCCTGTAAAGCTTCCTTTACCTCCAAGTCACTCCCACAAATCACAAAAGTGATTTGCAGCTGGAGAAGTGCCAGGATTCTGTGTGGGACGTGAGCAGGGTGGTTTCTTCCAGCTCTAGGTGTTTCCTTGTGGGAAGGGAAAGGTTGTGGGTAATTTTCCTTTTTCTGTTCTTGGCTTCTGAGATTTGGCACAACAACCTGAAAAATAATTAACATCTGATGTGAATAGCAAGAAGAAGAAAAAGAAAGCACTTCATGACTAATCATGTCTCTAGACAAATTGTTTTAGTTTTTTTCCCTTTGATTGTTTATTCTTCCCATTTTTAGATGGGGGCTGGTCAGGGAGGTGTAGAGGAAATGGAGATAGAATGTTCTTTACCTGTGTCTTTTGCTGGAATGTGGAGAGAAAATAGAACAGTAAATAGGCCACCAGATATGCTGTCAGACATGAAAACACAAAGCCCCAGTCAGTTTGCAAGGCTTTCTTGTTGGTGTCACAGGGGAGCCGGGGGTGGGGGGAGTGGGGGGGGCGGGGGGAGGTTGTCATTTACAGGATGGAGTAAGTAGCTGTGTTATGAAGGAAGGAGATGAAACTTCCTAAACTTCCTAGATGGGAGAAGAAAGATCTGAGGAAGCAGAGGTTTGGATGTGATGAAAATCTACAGAAACCTGCCTCTGGATTGGGAAAAGAGGTTGCAGGATAGCAAGTGATTAGGGCCCAGAAGAAGGAGCCAGAGCAACTGGTTGCTCAGCAAGCCCCCCAGGATTAGCAGGAAGCCAGCTGGACAGTGAACTTTAACTCTTTGTGGTCCGTGACTCGGTTTTATTATTTGGACTCAACCTATTGGACCTGGTGGATGCACACAGTTTCTAAAAACTACAGCCGGACTTCATCATCCTGTGATGAGCTCCACTTGAACTAGTCCTCGCCTCGCAGGCCAAGGACTAATCACTTCTCCTGTGAAACAAGGTGGCTTCTGCCTTTAGAAGCCCACCCTCGCCTTTGATCTAAGAAACAGTGGCTGCTCTCCTGTGTATATACTTACATGGGAGTAAATCCTCATTGTTTTTTTTTTTTAAATACCTTTTTATTTATTTCAGAGAGGAAGGGAGAGAGAGATAGAAACATCAATGATGAAAGAATCATTGATCGGCTGCCTCCTGCACACCCCCCACTAGGGATGGAGCCGGCAACCCGAGCAGGTGCCCTGACCGAGAATTGAACTGTGACCTCCTGGTTCATAGGTCACTGCTCAACCACTGAGCCAGCTGGGCAGTCCTCGTTGTTTTAAATGGATGGTTTCTGAGTTACTTTGACCATTAGTAACCTCCCTGTAGTAGATCCGATTTCCCCTGCCGTGCCTGGCAGTTAACTTCCTTAACACTCGCTACTGTATCAGAGTTTATTTTTCTGTCGAGGAGGAGAGGGTAAAAGCTAGAAACTAAAAGAACTTGAGGACTAGAACAGAAGGAAGTTCTCCGAGGTCACCTCAGACCAGTGCTTAGGAATAAGGCTCAGGCCTTAGTTGTAGTTCTCTTCCCTCCTGCAGGGGGAGCTCTTCCTCTCGCTGCAGTGAAATGGTATTGGCATGATGTTTTGCCCAAATGTCCCCCCTTCCCTTATTAATCTTATTGCTGGGCAGCAAAACTTCCAGAAACTCTGGTGACGGCTGTCCTCCTCGCCAGCCATATTGCCTGAATGGCGGTGGAGTGAATATCAAGTTACCAGCAGTGACGAGGAATGGATTGTGTAGTCGTAGAAGGCTAAAAGGGGTGTCCTGTCCTCGGTTTTCTAGGGGTTGACTTTATCATCATAAATGAGCAAAGCTGGTGGCAGCAGGACAGAGCTCCAGTGAGATATGTCAGTGCAGGGAGCCTGGAAAGACCTTGGCAAGACTGCAGTTGGGACAGATTGGCGTGTCTGCCTGCTCGGAAGTGCGAGCCATACGGAGCGCAGGCACCTGTGTGACACAGTCTGTACCCGCTGCCCACTGCCTCCAGAGCAGTGCTTTTCCTGCTTTTGGTGAGTTATACGTATAACAGGATGATGTCTGGCTCTCAGAGGTATAAAAACAGTAGCGGGCACTTGGTCCTGGGCTTAACTGACCTCTTAGGGCTGGGCGGAGCAAATGAGTCAGTTGTGCTGACCGGAGGAGCAAACATGCACCCTTTCCCTGATGCCTTGGGGGTCTTGGACATCCCCCCCCCCAATAATGAGCGGTCCTTTATGGTTTGAGCTTTTACTGATCTCCTGTCCTGCATCTGGACTTCTCCTGCTTCTCTTAGCTCTTCTCTTGCTGATTAGAAAGATCTCAGCACCCTGTCTAGCTCCTAGTAGTCACTTGGGTAGTATTTTTATAGTTATTGTTTTTTACAGGCTGGTACAGTAACTTCGGGATGCTCCATTTCCAGTTCTTACCATTCTCTTCCTTTGAAATTACATTAAATTATAAATCAGTTCCTATTCTTCTGCATTATGCCAAGAAGATGTATTTTTAAAAGATTACTTCTCTATTTTCTCACTCTGATTTTTTCAACTTTGTTCATGTTGTTTGGTTCTCCTAGGCATAATTTTGCCACTTGGAAGATATTTTTCTTAAGTTTCTGAGTATGATGTTTGCAGAGGTGGTGGCGTGAGTGGGTGAGAGGTAGGAAGGTGGTAGGGAGGTGGTTCCTAAGGAATATGCTAGGAATCTCTGAAATAGGGTCTTGGGTAACTTTTCATCGCTTTAATTGAGCCTGAAAACCTTAAGTCTGGGAAATAATTCTGAAAATAATTAATTGGGCAAGTCTAAATGTCTTCTTCACAGAGAGACTAATTTTGAAAAATATATGTTTTTATTGAATTTAGAGAGAGGGGAAGGGAGAGGGAGAGGGAGATAGAAGCATCGATGAGAGAGAAACATGGATCGGCTGATTCCTGCACGACCCCCACTGGGGATCGAGCTCACAACCCGGGCATGTGCTGTGACCAGGAATCAAACCAGTGACCTCTTGGTTCATGAGTTGATGTTCAACCATTGAGCCACCCTGGCTGGGCCAGAGAGACTAATTTATATGCCTTTCAGTACTTCTTTATGTGACACCTTCTCCACTCACCTGTTTAAATGTTGACAGGAGAACCCAGAACTGCTGCTAGTATTAATCCTTGGTAGCAATGTGGGGAGGAGGTGGGGGTATTGAGGACAAAGATGATACCATCAGGCAAGGGGAACTTTCAGATTACAAATTATTTTCTCTAATTGGAGCACTGTGCAAATGTATTAGATTATGATTATGTTAATATTGACAGCTGGATAGTCCAGTAAGAATTTCTATTTTGTTTTTATTAAATACCTTGAATTTTAATTTCTTTTGTATTTTTACCTGTCCTCATTTAGGATTACAACTGGCTAATTTATTTCTCTTGTAAACGCTTCAGTTAAAAGTAAGAAGGGATTGGCACAGATTAAGGATAGAAATGCCGCTGCTGTTATTTCTATTTGCTTGTCTGAAATGTGGCCAATTTTCATAGCTTCGAATTCAGTTGATCACTGAAGCTGGGAATGGCCACGAATGAGTATGATGCGTGACAGGATTGGGCTTTAATTTTAATGAATTGATTGATTAATTCCTCGGAGCCTTTTGTTATTATTTCAGCATACTCCAATAAATGGATGGTGGTACTGGATCCCATGCAGCCCGGTGGACCTTATGAAGTGACGGCACAGCAGACTTTGAAAAACAAACTTAACCGTGGGAGTTCATGATGTCTATTCGGAGATGTCTGGCTTTGCAGTGGGCAAAGCAACATGCAGATGACGGTTTCACAGGTAACTTGCAGAGTCTCAGTGATAATAAATAATGTTGATGTTGTGGAAAAAGGAAAAAAAAAAGAGGAGGAAGCAGCAAGGAGGAGAAAGAGAGAGAAACCTTTTTACCAGGTGCCAAGATCTGTTCTAAGTGCTTTGCCTGTTTGAGTTGACAACTTTATGAGGTAAGTACTTTATTCATATCTCACAGGCTAGGAAACTGGATCACTGAGATTAAATGACCCGCCTAAGGTCGCAGTTAATAGGGGAGCCAGGGTAGGACCTGGTGATGCGGCCCCAAAGCTGCTTTCGCAGTCACGGTGAGTGTACGGTCAGCGCACCAGGCATTCTGGCCTCACCTTCCTGAGCTAAAGGCAGAAGCTCGAGTGTATCTGATGGTAACAGAGGTTTCATAACAAATTGAAGACAAAGGAGATCACTCTTCTTTTTGATTGATCTTAGCAGATGAGCTTCTGGGGAGAGCCTAGGGAACCAAAACAATTAGATGTTGTTTTAATGCTGAGCAACTAACACACTACTTGTCTTCTGTTGTCATGGAGATTGAAAAAATAAGATTGAATGTTGGCTTAGCCTTTTACTAGGGTATGGCTTAGAGCAAATCACTTGGTATTTTTTCTCTCTTCTTGTTTTTTGTTGTTGTTAGTTTGATTGGTTGTTTGCTTATTTATTTACTTGGTTGGTTAGGTTTTGAACCATGTAAGAGTATTATATTCTAACTAAAAATGTCTGTAGCTGCTGTGAGGAGGCATGTTAGATGCTGGGGGGGTGGTGCGGGGTGGGCGCGGCAGTTTGAAAAAGCAAGAGAAAAGAAAAAGGAGAAATGAAAGTTCTTCCTTAAGCTGAGCAAAAAACCTGCTTTCCTCAAGTTCTTTTTGTTTTTTTGGTGTGATTTTTTTCCTTTTGGTCAGGATTGGCTCTTTGGGTAACTACGAGGTCCTGCTAAATGGGAAAAGACATTCTTGATTCTCTCTGCTGATCCCTGGATGTCCTGGGTTTCCATATTCTTCACCATGCTATCAGTCTTCCCCAAATACAACCCAGGCTACCACGGTCCTCTCCGGGGTGAGGCCCCAAACAGAGCCCGCGTCTCCGCCACTGGTCTGGCCAATACGATGGTCCCTCCCTTGTTTTGAGAACTATATTTCTACTAATGCAGCCATGTTCACGCTTGCTCTTTTGGAATCCTCATTTTCCATTGCTATTAACTGAAACATCCAGCCTTCATCCCCAGGTGCTTCTGCCTACTCAGCTCCTCCCCATCCCCCGCTGGTGCAGCTGTGTTCTCACTTGGTATTTTTGAGACTTTGTTTTTAAAATATACTTTATAAAAATGTGCTTAAATTTAAATAAATATACTTGTCCCTTTTAACCATTAAATATACAGAGTGGGGCAAAAGTAGGTTTACAGTTGTTCATATGGAAAATAATACAATCAATAAATAATAATACAAGAAAAATAAAATAATACACTCAAACTGTAAACCTACTTTCGCCCCACCTTTTATTCACCATCCTGTGTGTACCCATACCTTATCTCTACTTAAAACTATGTCTTCATCCTCAGCATAAACTCTGTACCTGCTAAGCAATAATTCCTCTTTTCTTCTTCCTCCAGCCCCTAGTAGCTTTCCTTCTATGAATTTGCCTATTCTAGATACCTCATATAAGTGGAATCATATTTGACCTTGTGTCTGGATTATCAAGCATAACGTTTTCAAGGTCCATCCGTGTTGTAACATATGTCAAAATTTTATCCCTTTTTATGGCTGAATTGTATTCTATTTTATATGCCACATTTTGTTTATCCATTTACCTGTTGATGGACACCTAGGCTGCTTCCCCCTCTTGGCTATTGTGAATAATGCTGCTATGAGCATTGGTGTGCAGATATCTGGTCCAGTCCCTGCTTTCCATTCTTTTAGAAAAATACCTGTGAATGGAATTGCTGGGTCACCTGTTAGTTCTGTGTTTAACTGTTGAGAAACCACCAAACCATTTTCCACACTGGCTGTACCATCTTGCATTCCTACCAGCAATATGCAAATGTTCCAGTTTCTCTATGTCCTCAGTAACATGTGTTACTTTCCTTTTTTTTTTATTATAACCATGTTAGTAGGTGTGAAGAGGTATCTCATTGTGGTTTTGATTTGCATTTCCCTAATGACTAATGATATTGAGTACCGTTTGTAAGACTTCTTTGGATAGATGTCTATTCAAGTCCTTTGCCCATTTTTGAACTGGGTTATTTGTTGTTGAATTGTAGGAATTCTTTAAATATTCTAGATAATCACTTGTCAGGTATGATTTGAAAATGTTTTATGTCATTCTTTAGATTGTTATTTCATTTTCCTGAGGGTGTTCTCTTATACACTAAAGTTTTCTCTTTTGATAAGTTCAGTTTATATTTTTATTTCTTTTGTTTTCTATCCTTTTGGTGTCATATTCATGAAATGTTGCCAAATCCAATGTCATGGACATTTCCCCCAATGTTGTCTTCTAAGAGTTTTATAGTTTTAGCTCTTAAGTTTAGGTCTTTGATTCTTTATGAGTCAATTTTGGTATATGGTGTAAGACGAGGCTCTAACTTCATTCTTTTGAAGTTGGGTATCCAATTCTCCCACTACCATTTGTTGAAAAGACTGTCCTTTCCCCCACTGAGTGGTCTTGGTACACTTGTCAATAATTAATTAACCATCTATAATAATAAAAGCGTAATATGCTAATTAGACCGGACTTCCGGTCCTTCTGTCCAGACAAAGCCACAGCAGGTGGGGGGGCCACGGCAGAGGCCCGTGGCGGTGGTGGCGGCAGGCGGGGGTCTGGGCCAAGGCCCTTGCATGAATTTCATGCATCGGGCCTCTAGTATATATATAAAGGTTTATTTCTTGGCTTTCTATTCCATTGATCTACAGGTCTCTCCTTATACCAGGACCACACTGTTTTAATTACAGTAGCTTTGTAGTAAGTTTCAAAGTTGGGAAGTGTGATTCCTCCAACTGTGTCCTTCTTTTCCAAAATTATTTTGGTTAGTCAGGGTTCTTGCAATTCCATATGAATGTGAGAATATGCTTTTCCATTTCTGGGGAAAAAAAGGCTACTGGGATTTTTGATAGGTATTGTGTTTGAATCTGTAGATTTCTTTGGGTAGTATTGGCATTTTAACTTCTATTGTGAACATGGGATGTCTTTCCATTAATGTCTTTACTTTTTTCCAGCAATGTTTTATAGTTTTTGGTATCTTCTACCTTCTTGACTAGATTTATTATTAATAATTAGCTAATTACAATGGTATCACTATAATAGATTAAGAACTTAGAAAGATAATTCTTTTCCCTAGCTCTTTCTCTAAAACTCAGTTTCTTCTCAAGTTGACTTTTATTTTCCTACCTTTCTTTTGTTATCTATTTCTCTTTCTTTGAGAATATTTAATTTGAGATTTTAAAATCTACAACTAGACCATGATCTTAATGAATTTCTTTTTTTATTATAAAATTGAATCCCTTAACATACTTTATGATTTCTTATTTTGCTTCTATCACTTATAGTTTCTTTTTTTTTAAACTAATTACTAAATAATGCTACTAAAAAGATTCTACTCCAGGGCCTATATACTTCATTTCATTATTAGTTTCCTAATTCC